CTTAAAGTCAATAGTGACTATGTATTAAAATTCATATTTACTTTACTAATGAGGGCCTAGGCAGAATGACAAAGCTGGCTCCAACGAGAATTCGAAAAACTGGAATTCTTCTAGGAAGTAGGAAAAATGAGGAGATAAAATTGCCATATTATGCTGGGTGCGGTGGGTCACACCTGTAATCCAAGCACTTTGGGAGGCCGAGGCAGGCGGATCACTTGAGGTCTGGAGTTTGAGACCAGCCTGGCCAACATGGTGAAACCCCATCTCTATTAAAAAAACACAAAAATTAGCCAGGTGTGGTGGTGTGCGCTTGTAGTCCCAGCTCGGGAGGCTGAGGCACGAGAATTGCTTGAATCCAGATGGCAGAGGTTGCAGTGAGCCAAGATCGCGCCACTGCACTCCAGCCTGGGCAACAGAGCCAGACTCCATCTCAAAACAAACAAACAAACAAACAAACAGGCCATGTTACATGTAAAGTCGGTTAATGTGCTACAGGGCAAAATCACCGTACCCCTTGGGGTGATCTTCCTACTGGACAGAAAAGAATAGCATTACATGGTTTCAGTTCGATAGAAATGAAAAATGTGGCCAGGTGCGGTGGCTCACACTTAATAGTCCTAGCACTTTGGGAGGCTGAGGTGGGAGGATGGCTTGTGCTCAGGAGTTCGAGACCAGCCTGGGCAACATAGTGAGACCCTGTCTCTACAAAAAAAATACCGAAAAGTTGGCTGGGTATGGTGTCATGTGCCTGTAATCCCAGCTACCTGGGAGGCTGAGGTGGGAGGATCACTTGAGCCCAGGAGGTCAAGGCTGCAGTGAGCCAAGATCGCGCCACTGCACTCCACAGCCTGGGTAACAAGGTAAGATGCTGTCTAAAAATCAAACAAACAAACAAAAAATCCTTGCACCCTAATCAATTGTGTACACAAGTGCTGCACTGTCCTAAGGGCTCTAGCACACAGTCACCTTTTTGCCTCACTTCTAGCTTTTGGACTGTGGTTCTTTACACTACCTGACATTATATTTTGCGTTTGTTTATTGCAGGTTGCCTCCTCTAGAATGTAGGCTCCTTGAGGGCAGACAGGTGGAATGCCTGGCTCCCTGCTGCCTCCCCAATACCTTATAAATATCCAGCATATGGAAAGTGCTTGGTAGTTATTCGCAGAATGGCTGAGAGGGTCAGGCTGGGCAATGAATATGCCAGCCCTGTCATCCCGGAACTCATGATCTAGTGAAGGATGGATAATTATCGTACCAAGTTTTTTTTTTTTTTTCCTCAGTCTGTTGCCCAGGCTGGAGTGCAGTGGTGCGATCTTGGCTCACTGCAACCTCCGCCTCCCAGGTTCAAGCGATTCTCCTGTCTCAGCCTCCCAAGTAGCTGGGACACTACAGGGGCGCACCACTGTGCCCAGCTAATTGTTGCATTTTTAGTAGAGACAGGGTTTCACCATGTTGGCCAGGCTGGTCTCAAACTCCTGACCTCAAGTGATCGGCCCACCTCAGCCTCCCAAAGGCTGGGATTACAGGTGTGAGCCACTGTGCTGGCCTTGTTGGTTTTAACAGTTCTTTCCCAAGCAGGCTGCAGCTGAACAGCCAAGTCCCCTCCTTGGGCCATATATATTTCTGAAAATGTTAGAATGTGTCAAAAAAAAAAAAAAAAAAAAAATTGAGTCCACTGGCCTGGGCTAAATACCTAGCAGAACATTCCCATGGTTTGGTGACTCTGAAATATCGCTGCCAAACAAACACTTGTAGAGGCGCAAACAAGGCCATAAAACATGGCAATGCAGGCGCGCTTGCACTCTGGGAAATGAAAATCTGATGATACTCTGAATTACAGTGGATCAAGATTAATTCCAGGCTCTACTTAGAGGAAGCTTTCAGGCCGAGTGGTTTAGACATAAAAGTAGTTTGCCCTAATGCGGCAGGTGAAAGCCGTGACAACTCTATTGCTTGGTGCCAATTACATTTATGGGCTTGTCCCCAGGAGTGCTAGGAAATTGTCACCGTTAGTGCTGACGTGTTGCCAGCTGGTGGCTCCGTATAGTGGGGTTCTGATTTGAAGACTCATTATTAATATTCCCCGTCGTGATCTGCAACTCTGCTCCACGATGGCAAGTCTGTCAGGAAAGCAGTTTGTGCAGGCATTTTAGAAAACAGCAATAGGTTGAGGGCTATGCGGTAGGCCCCAGAGCTTCAACTACTGTGCACACAAATCACCTGGTGTCTTGTCGAGATGCAGATTCAGATTCAGGTCCTGAGCTGAGGCCTGATACTTTTTTTCTTTTTTGGAGATAGGCTCTCTCTCTGTTGCCCAGGCCAGAGTGCAATGGTGCAGTCATGGCTCACTGCAGCCTGAAGTTCTTAGGCTCAAGCAATCCTTTCCCCTTGCCTCCCAAGCAGCTGGGACTACAGGTGTGAGCCACTACGCCCGGCTTTTTTTTTTTTGAGACAAAGTTTTGCTCTTATTGCCCAGGCTGGAGTGCAATGGCATGATCTCGGCTCCTGCAACCTCTGCCTCCTGGGTTCAAGTGATTCTCCTGCCTTAGCCTCCCAAGTAGCTGGGATTACAGGCATGAGCTGCCACACCCGGCTAATTTTGTATTTTTAGTAGAGGCAGGGTTTCGCCATGTTGGCCAGGCTGGTCTTGAACTCCTGACTTCAGGTGATCCACCTGCCTTGGCCTCCCAAAGTGCTGGGATGACAGGTGTGAGCCACCACGCCTGGTCTCTTGCCTGGTTTTTTTTTTTTTTTTTTTTTTTTTTTTGAGACAGAGGCTTGCTCTGTTATCCAGGCTGGAGGGCAGTAGCATGATCTTGGCTTACTGCAATCTTCGCCTCCTGGGTTCAAATGATTCTCCTGCCTTGGCCTCCCAAGTAGCTGAAATCGCAGGTACACACCACCACGCCAGGCTAATTGGCTGTTTAATTTTTAGTAGAGATGGGGTCTTGCTGTGTTATCCAGTCTGGTCGAACTCCTGGCCTCAACTGATCCTCTTGGCTTGGCCTCCCAAATTACTGGGATTGCAGGAGCGAGCCAATACGCTCAGCCTGATGTTGTATTTCTAACCAGCATCCAGGTGATGCCACAGATGCTGCTACTGGTCTAGGGACTACACAGTGGGAACATGGGAAGAGCAAAGGCTCGGGAGTCAGATGGACATGGGTGGACACGAGCTCTAACCCTGACTCTGCCCTTGGTGGCTGTGTGATGTTGGGCAAGTTGCTTAACCTCTCTGAATTTTGGATTTCTCATATGTAAAATAGGGATCACTTCTGCATTTTAGGTTCTTTGAAGATGTGTAATAACATATATGCGTAGGTTTTCTTCTTGCTCCCAGAGGGGCAGGGCGAGGTCACTCTCCTGCATGCTCTGCACTACAGATTCAGCCGAGACCCATTTGTTCTTCCCTAAAGTACTTGGCTTTCTTCTTCCAAGTCAGGATTTCTCTGCCTCGGTGCGACTCACATTTTGGGCTGATCCTTTTGTGTCGTGGGGGCTGTTCCGTGCATTAGCACATTATAGGATGTTCAGCAGCATCCCTGGCCTCACCCACTGGATACTGGTGGCACGTCTCCTCTACCTGTGACCGCCAAAAATGTCTCCCCACACTGCCCAATGTTCCTGGAGGAAAAATCACTCACAAATAAGAAACACTGCCCTAATTAGTAACTTATATTAGCACATCATTCAACAATACATGTTGAGCATCTGCTTGCCAGACCATACACCAGGGATGTAGTGATATTTAAGACAAACAAGGTCCCTGACCTCATGGAGACTTTTTCCTTTTTGGACCTCAGTCTTCTCCGCTGTAATGTGGGTATCACAAGGCTGTGGACCTCCTAAATTTGTTGGGAAGATGAAATGAAGTTAGACTTACAAGTGCCTGGCCCCTGGCATCAGGGATTAGCCAGTGCCAGGGGTATGATGGGCCTGGGGATGGAACCTGGGTGCTTGGGGAGAAGCGAGTGTGGGCAGGGACAGTGCATGGAGAAGCCAGGAAACCTGAGCTTCGAGGGAGGCAGAAAGGGGCCATGCCAGGCCCTGGTGCAAAGTGTGCAGCAGTAGCAAGACAGGGGAAGGGGCTGCAGGGAGAGCCAAGAGTAGCAGGAAGATGGGACCGAAACTAGAGAGAAGGAGAGACAGTGGGACATAGAGGATGACAGGAAGGGGTAGAGATGGGAGGAGACAGGCACAGATGGAGAAGATAAAAAAAACCAGACAGACACGAGCACACGTGATAAGATGGAGACTAAGGGGCGGAGGGAAAATGAGCCCAGGCTGAAGGGAACACCTCCGAGGAAGATCACTGCACAAACCCCGGTCGGCTGCATGTGACCCCAAAGAGTGGCTCTTAGGTTTCTTCCAAACGTACCTGATTTGGGTGAGAAAGAGTTAAAATTAAATACAAAGGCCGCTGCCAGGCCATTCCTGGCGCCAGCTCCTGCCCCTTCTTTCTCAGGGGGCCCTCACCAGAGGGACGGGGTGGAGCATACCCAACCCTGCAAGGAAATGAGAGTTTTGTGCCGAGCGGAGATACGATGGCAATAGTGGCAATGGTAGTCAACCCATCTGTGAACAGCTGACACAGGGCAGTACAAGAATCCACCTCACAGCCAGGGCTGCAACCCCAAGTGAAGCGCACAGCTGAAATGACTGACCTGGGTGGAACTGAGCTGAGAAGGAACATGACTTGCCTTGACCCTGGAGCACACATCACAACCATGAGAAACAGGTCACTAAAGCGGCCCCCAGCCCACACCAACAACCTTCTCTGGCTGCAACTGGGAGGCAGGGAAAGACCCCAGAAAACCATCTTGGGTCGTCTAAGGTACATGCAACCCTACTTTTAAAATGACAAAATCTTGAGCATGTTGCTTTGGTGAGCTTCTGATTTTATTAGAAATATACTCTAAGAACAGTCGAGACGCCGCGCCTCGTGGAGGCGATGGGTCATGTTACTGGTTCTGCGATGATCTTCCAGAGCTCCTGCAGCAAACAGAGAAAAGGTTTCTGAAGTGCACATACAAGAGCATCACAATTTCATGAAGGAAAGTGATTCGCCAAGGAGAGCAGTTAAACAACACGCCAGCCATGGAGCAGGCGAGCTGGGGCAGGAGCGGGCGGGCGGCTTCCTCCTTTCTTTGTTGCTCTGGCTTGTTCTGTTTTACTGTGGCAGAGGCTGGATGGATGAAGTCCCAGCATTAACGGAAGGGGTATCAGAGGATGTCACACAATCAGAAGAGACCAGAATAGCAGTGAGTCGCCACAATCTCTCCATTTTTGGGAAGGGCTTTATATACAGTTTTATTTTAGAGACAGGATCTCACGCTGTTGCCCAGGCTGGAGTGCAGTGGCACCATCACAGCTCGTTGCAGCCCTGAACTTCTGGGCTCAAGCAATCCTCCCACCTCAGCCTCCAGAGTAGCTGGGACCACAGGTGTGCACCACCATGCGTGGCTAATTTTTTTTTTTTTAATTTTTGTAGAGATCTGGTCTATGTTGCTCAGGCTGATCTCGAACTCCTAGCCTTAAGCAACCCTCCGACCTTGGCCTCTCAGAGTGCTGGAATTACAGGTGGGAGCCACCACACCTGGCCTTTTTGGGACGTCTTAGGCATCATGTACTGGGTCTGCTGATTTGTAAGAAGCGCGTGTTCTTGGTCATGTGACGCTACTCTTAATGCTGCCCAGAAGTGGCAGAGCAATAAATACAAGATCCTCCTCGCACACAAAACCACACGAATTCCATGCTGCCCTTGCTCAGGACACGAGACAAAGCGCGAGGGCAGCAGCTCCTCATGACTCCCTCTTCCTCCCTTATTCCTTAGAACTAGGCCCGGGTCTCCGAAGACACAGAGAAAGGGAGGCCACAGCCAAAAGGCAAACAGAACAAAAGAAGTTAATTCTCAATCTTTGGACTCCAGTTAACAGAAAAGCCTGTTCAGTCTGAGAAGCTGGTGCACTTCCACAGTGAAGACGTGACCAGCAGCCACCACAGCGGGGCCCCTGCACCGAGGTCTGCTACCCACAAACTTCCCTCCACTGACTTCCTGTTCCCCAAACAACCTCTGCCTCAGTCTTGCCTTCTCTGGAGTCTGAACTGTCCACGGGGGAAAAATGTGCTCTAAAGTAAAAGATAAGGTTTGCCCGAAGGCCCCTCTCCAGACATGGTGGCCGCTCCCCCAACAGGTTCCCCCATGATGTAGTTCCCCCAACAGGTTCCACTACAGATGGTGCCCGGCACGCAGGCTTCACCCCCTGCAGGACCTAGGGTGGAGCCTGTGCCTGGAGGGCTTGCTTCATCACTTCTTTGCCCCAGAGTCACCCACTTCACAATAAAGCAACCAACGGCCCGCTTCGGGGCCTGGACCTACCAGCTGCTGGATGCGCTCGTAAACCAGGAGCTGCGGGAAGGAGGCCTCCACGGGCTCCACCACGAAGCGCAGCTTGCCATCTGCGAGCTGTTCCAGCGCACGCAGGCAGGACCGGAAGTGATCGTAGGCTTCACATGTGACGTCCAAGTGTCTCAGTGTGAAGTTGAGCCTGCAAACCAGCCAGCCGACACACACATGGCTATCATCACTGGGAAGGGTTTTGCTGTTTCCGCCCATCTTGCTTTCCTGCCCCTCACTGATCTCATATCCCCTGGATGGGCTTTTACGGAGCACCTGTCTCATGCTGAGTGTCTGAGCGCAATTCCTTCCTACATCTGCACAATAGCCTGGGGGGTGGAAATGGCTAGCACTTTACAGGTGTGGAAACTGAGGCTCAGAAAGCTGAAGTCACGTGCCCACAATGACACCGCTGGAAAGATCAAGACAGTCCTTGCCTCTGAGAAGCTAGAGCTGGTGTAAGAGGCAGATGCAGATCAACACTTGAGGACGGCCCTGCAGGTCCTGCCCACACCCAGCACAGACTCTGGTGGCTGGAGCTGCGCGTAACTATCTGCGAAATGAATGAACAAGAGGCAGTGGCAGGGGCTGGTGCAGAGGACTCTGAGAGCGCAGAGGACAGAGAGAAAACTGCTGGGAAGCGGGGCTCTGAGAGATTTCAGAGAGTGAGTGCCTTCAGAAACAGGTCTCCCAGCCCTGCCACTTGCCTTTCAAAAACTCAGTCTACAAGATAGTTTCACTTGAAATTCAAGCTCTTTGCCTTTTTCCCTTTTCTTTCCAAAATTTTTTATTAAGAAAAATTCCAGACATGCAAAAGGAGTAAGAACAGTCTATGCTGGGCGTGGTGGCTCCTGCCTGTAATTCCAGCACTTTGGGAGGCCGAGGTGGGCAGATCACGAGGTCAGGGGTTTGAGACCAGCCTGGCCAACACGGTGAAACCCTGTTTCTACTAAAAATACAAAAATTAGCCAGGTGTGGTGGTGGGCACCTGTAATCCTAGCTACTTGAGAGGCTGAGACAGGAGAATTGCTTGAACCTGGGAGGCAGAGCTTGTGCTGAGCCGAGACTGCACCACCGCACTCCAGCCTGGGCGACAGGGAGAGACTCCGCCTCAAAAAACAAAACAAAACAGTCTAATGAACTCATTACCAGCTTCAGCCACTGTCCACTTTCAGCCACTCTGCCACCTTCGCTCTTCCTGGGGCCCCCAACCTCCTTGGTGAAGTTGAAAATGTCAGTGTGTGTCTCAAAAAGATGGAGACCTTTTCAACTAAAGTTTAACAATCACCCTTTAACGTCAAATATTCAGTATTCAACTTTTCTCAACCGTCCTGATGTTTTTCCTTTACAGTTGATGAAATCAGAATCCAAATGAGGTCTGTACACTGCTATTGCTCAGTGTGTGCCTCAAAGCAAGCCTCAGGATTACTGGTATCAGCAACACTGCAGTCAGTGTGCAGGTACATAGAGCTTTGTACACAACCATGAGCGTGAATTCCCAGATGCTGAATTGCGGGGTGAGGAAGTCTGTTCAGTTTTATAGCTTTTGCTGTGGATTCCAAACGATCTTCAGAAAACTGTGGCATATTGTTAAGTATTGCAGGAGAATGTGTGTAGCTATCACAAGGTGGGCACTCAATACGTGGAACCTAACATTTTAGGATATTCAAGTGGAAATGTCTGGGAGAGGCTGTTGGGTGAGGAGCAGCAAGAGAAAGAGACCTGGGGGAACTGAAGAGACAGACCGCACCACAGAGAGAACATTCAGGAAGAGAAGCTCTCGACAGTGTGTGCTGGACAAGCGTTGAGGCTCCAGTACAGTGGACATTCAAGTCCTTGTCTATCACTAGCTAGCTGTGCCCTGGGCAAGGCCCCTGGTGTTTCCCAGCCTTCCCCTCTTCATCGGTAAGGTGGGACAGCAGCGCCTGCACATGGAGCTCGCATGCGGACTCAGTGCAGTAACGTACACAAGAGGAGCAGAGGCCTGGCACACAGCAGGTGCTCAATAAGTGGCACAGAGTAACAGTCATGATGACACTGACAAGGACACAATTAGGAGGTGAGAGTTCTGCCCACACTTGGGACGCCAGCATGGTCCCCGTGGTGCAAAGCTCACCTCTTCTCCACTGACAGAATGGCCGTGCAGGCATTTTTCAATCTGTGGGCGAGTCGGGAGAGGGTTTTAAACACGGCATCCGTCAAGTCGTCGTCGTAAAACACTGTGGGAAGCAAAAAGGCTGGCATTAGGGGAAAACATGCAAATATGAGAGAAATCGACTTTTCAGAGCGATCCGCACAGAGAGAATGCTTATCACCACAGAAAAGCAGCAGCTCCCAGAATGAAAACTGCAGACGTGGTGGCACATCCTGGAAAGTCACCTGTAAAACTGAACTCCGGGGGCAGGTGAGAAGAGACTGCACTTGACTTCATGCTGCGACAAAGGACGTGTGTGGTGAAGGAGAAATTTTCTTACCTTCTGCTGCAAACAGGATGGTGGTGTGATCGTACAAGTCAGAAATTTCCTCTTGTGACCAACTGAAGGGGACCTCGGGATCTAAGAAAGAACAAAAGCATGCTTTGTGCCCACTGCCTTCTCTCCTGGCCACCAACTCTCACTGGGACTGACTGAAAGGCACTTCAGGAGAAGAAACAGGGCTGGAGGTAGCTGGGTGCAGTGGGCACCACCAGGCAGACTAGACTCCCTGCTTCAGGCCCACTGCTGCCCGTGTGCAGTCACGGTGGAAGAGGTGCCTTTTCTGCTGAGTGTCTGCTCTAGCCAGCGAGTAGCAGGCGGATTTCAGCCTCACCCGCCGCCTTGGCCTGTGGCCCAATACAGGACGTGATCTGCCCCATCTGCCTGCTGGGTGGCCCAGGAAAACGGCTTCAGTTTCGCACTCACAGAAAGGGTACAGTACTACTTCCTCACAGGACTACGGGGAGGGTCGAAAGGCCTACAGTGTGCAAAGTGCTAGGCAGGTGACCGGTACTCAAGGAATGACTTTCCCCATCTGCCATCTGACGGGAAAAAAAAGACATCTTTATATAAAGAAGGAGCAAGCACCCAGGTCTGAAGTAGTCTGTGTAAGAAATATGGAAAACTGTCCTACCCGGGGGACTTCCGGGCACCACTGTTTGTTGGGAAATGGTCTGTGCCCAAGAGTCTGGCAGATTGGGTCCATGCCCCTACCCTGCTGTGTACCAGCTATGCCCGTAGGCAGTCTGCACTCACAATTCAGGGATTATCATGCTACCACACAGGGAAACCACAACACCTGAAGAACAAAATGAACATGTGCCCAGCAGGCAGCAGGCGCTTGGAGAATGACTGCTGATGCTCATCGGCCAATGCAGAGAACCTGCCATGCGTGGGTGGGACAGTGGCAGCAGCTGGGGCTACAGCTCCATCAAGGCTACTGTACCCTGGCACTGAGGTATTACAAAGAAATCACTGAATCATTCTGGGGGACGTCCGAGAGAAACACACACCTGTGCAGAGGTCGTCCTTCAGCCAGTCCAGTTCTTTGACCTTAACTACACCACCTGTAAAAACAAACAAAAAGAGAACCTTCCAAACTCTAATCAGGAAAAAAAGACAAACTTTTACACTATATACCAAGATCCATCTATCCACCCACCCACCCTTCCTCTCATCCATCCATCTTCCTGCCCTTCCATCTTTACAGCCAGCCAGCCAGCCAGCCAGCCAGTCAGCCATCCATCCATCCATCCATCCATCCATCCATCCATCCATCCATCCATCCATCCACCCACCCACCCGCCCATCTTCCAGCCCTTCCTTCTATCCATCCATCCAACCACCCACCCACCCATCTTCCTTCCCTCCCTCTCCCACCCATCTTCTCATCCTTCCTTCTATCCATCCATACATACATCCATCCATCCACCCATCCATCCCTCCACCCACCCACCCAACCACTGCCCATCTTCCAGCCCTTCCATCTATCCATCCATCCACCCACCCACCCATTTTACTTCCCTCCCTCCCTCTCTCCCATCCATCCATCCTCTCATCTACCCATCTATCCATCCTTGTACCCTCCCACCCATCCACCCACCTATCCTTGTTATCCTCCTTCCCTCCTTCTCATCCATCATCCACCCTCTGTCCCTTCCCTCCATTCATCCGTCCATTCTTCCAGCATTTTTTGAGTGCTACGTGTCAGGGACGGTGCCAGACATAGGGAAAATAAAGATTTAAGAGTCATGCTCCCCATCCTTGCAGACCAGCCCCCCAGAGGAGACTGGCAGGTTAACCGACAACGGCAAGACTGTGTAGCTGAGTGGCGTCAGAAGGACGAGGCAAATGCACAGGGGGAGAGAGAGGAACTCATGTCAGATGGCGGTTATCAGGCAAGGGCTTCCACCAGCAAGCTCCCTCCTTCCTCCCAGCTCTGCTGACTGCCTACTATACCCTGAGCACTCAACAAACAGTGGAGAGCAAATGCAGACAGGGTACCTGCACCCACAGAGCTTGTAGTCCGGGGGGGAATGGAAAACACCAATAACTAGTCACACGAGCAGATGGTAAAATGCAATCGTGCAAGGTGTTCCTGGAGTCTGCTGGGGGCTCTGGACTCAAATCTGGAGGTCTGGAGCCCTGAGCGTGATGAGGACTTGCTGGGAGGAGGGAGGACAGAGCACTCAGGCGGAGGGAAGAGCAAGCGCAAAGGACTCGAGGGAAAGTGATTTGAAAATGAGGATGGCTGGGCTGGCGGGGTGGGGGCTGCAGACAGGCAGGGGCCAGATCCCCCAGAAGATGAGACAAGCAACAAGAAACCACTGAAGGGCCTGAAGCCTGGGGGGCTGCACCGGAGGAGGAAAGGCTGCACCCACAGACAGCCCCGTTAGGACATAATTGTGTCACCCATCACATACACTCATCCCTGCAGGCTGTGCAGGGAGCAGACGACCAGGCAGTTGGGGGTGGGGCCCATCCAGGCAGAGGGACTGGCCTGTGAGTGAGTGAGTCCTGGCGTGCTGGATGCAGGGCTGAAAAGGAGACTGTCAGGAGGAGGCAGGGAGAGCGACCGGGGCTGGGCCAGGGAGGCCTGGCCATTCAAGGAGCTGAGACTTCACCCCTCAGGTGATGATGCCCCTGGAAGGTTTTCAGCAGCAGGTGAAGGGGACAGGCTTGCATCTGAGAAAGGGCACTCTGGATGTTTCATGAGTACAGCCTGGACTGGTCAACTAAGGAGCTGGGGAGACCACCTTGGGCGCCGCTGCCAGAGGCTGGGAGAGAAAGAGCTGGAGTAGGATGAGGCGGTGGATCTGGGAATGAGGAGGTGACCCAAAGAGCTTCCTCAATGCTCTGAAGCTCTGTGATGCCCATAAGACGCCTGCTCCCTTTACTCACCTGTTGCAAGGGACACAGGTGGAGCCCTGCCTCCCAATGTCATGGTCTTGGGTGTCTGTCCTACCTGCTAAACAGAGAACCCTCCCTCCCTGGCAGAAGACCCTCTGGGCCTCACCTCCAGTGGCAGCCAGGTGGCTGTTGAGGGCAATGTTTCGCTGGCACATGGTCAAGAGATCTGCACCGACATCTGGAATGACAGAGGGCAAGCCATAAAGCGCCGGCCGTTACGACGCTTTTATCTCCACGTTTTTGCCTAGAGAGAGCCGTTTGTTATGAGCAGCACAACTGCAGAAACTAGAGAAACGTTTCTCCTGTGTGTCTTACTGCCAAAATTAAATACGCTCACCTTAAGGCTCTTTTCATTGTCTTGTTCCCTAAATAAGAGATTCTCATCCTGATGGGGAGAGACAGTGTGCATTCCAGAGGGAAGGAGTATGAGCTTCCAACATCATCCGAGCATACGGACCACGCACGCACTTCCTTAGTTCATCCTTTTCATGTTTATAACCATCTAGGAGCCGGGATCATGAATCCCATTTCACGGATTAAGTGACTTGAACAACGTCACGTAGCTAGTGAGAGCAAGAGTTGGGATCTGAATCCAGATATTTCTAAGTCCAAATTTAGGCTTGTTCTTTGACACCCTAGGAAAACTGACTGGACCAGTTTTCCGGTCAGAAGGGTGTTTTCTGATGATTCGTCAGAACACAGAACAGATTTAAACAGGCTGAGCCCACTCTCTCGGGCGTGATTCACTTTGCTCCTACCCAGGTCTCCCTCCCAGACTCCTGCTACTCTGACAAGTGGGATTTCTCATCATTTCAAGAACTGACTTGTGGTACAGTGAATCCTCACTGGGGGAAGTAGTGCTTTACCAAAAATAAATTTCTGATTAGAAGAAAGTGCGTGTAGAAAGTACAGGATGTCTTGTTAATGACATTTGCTTGGTCCCCTGTGGGCGTGGACTCCCCCATCAACTGCAAACTCACTGGGACTGGTGTCTGCACCCCGGGGGTCACACAGAGCCACGTACGGGAGGAGCTCCCTGCTCGCAGAAGGGAGGGACCTACCCTGTCTCCTGGGCCAAGAGAATACTGACATGTGCCTGACAGCACATGATGGGCTTAGCCTTTTGTGTGTGTGTGTGTGTGTGTGTGTGTGTGTGTGTGTGTGTGTGTGTGTTTTTTAAACAGAGTTTCGCACTTGTTGCCCAAGCTGAAGTACTGTGGTGCAACCTTGGCTCACTGCAACCTCCACCTCCTGGGTTTAAGCAATTCTCCTGCCTCAGCCTCCCAAGTAGCTGGGATTATAGGCTCATGCCACCATGCCTGGCTAATTTTTTTTTTTTTTTTTTTTGGTATTTTTAGTACAGACGGGGGTTTCACTATGTTGGCCAGCTGGTCTCAAACTCCTGACCTCAGGTGATCCACCTGCCTCGGTCTCTCAAAGTGCTGGGATTACATGCATTAGCCACCATGCCTGGCCAGGCTCAGCAGTTTTTAAACTTTTACGATAGTTTCTGTCAAAAGCTTTTAACCCATAAAACAGGTAAGAGAGAAGCAGCTCTGTGTGAGTGGGGAAGGAGCCCTGGTGCCCTGAGTGCGTTCTCCCCAGCATCCCTCGGCCAGCTCCTAGGAGCTCTGCTCCATGCAACACAATCTGAAACCCCACCATGTGACAAGGGCGTTGCCCTGTGAGCCAGCAGGTCCATGGGCCTCGGGTCTCGTCAGCAGCTGTGGGTGACCTTGGGCCAGCCTCAATCTGCCCATTTGGACAACAAAGATAGGAACCCTGGGCTCTGCCCAGCATCACTGTGAAGTTACAGCCAGGCACTGATGAATCTGAAAGGACTTTTCCAACTGGAATGTGGCATCTAAATGCAAGCTTTCTTCCCCATGTTGGTAAATCTCTCTCAGGGATAAGACTTCTTTATATCCTGCTATTAGGCACCAGGCACAAAGCAAAGCTCTTGAACGCCTTGACTCTTGAGAAGCACTCACTGATAATTTACATGACATTGTCAAGAAGCAGCCAATAGCGTGGCTGCACTGTGGACTCCTGACCAGTGGTTAACTCAGCATATTTGAAAACTGTGCCTCAGGGACTGGTGATCTCTAGCTTCTTCCTTCCTATCTCAGAAACAACGTGTGCCTATCTCACAACAGCGTGTGCCAGGAAATGTTCACTAGGAAGCAATGAGGTGTAAATCACATCAGTGATAACTCTTTCTGTCCAGCAGATATTAAAGATTTAAAATATAACAACAATGCTCACTTGATGAGATCACTACTCTCTTGTAAACCGGTATATTAGCTCTAAAGAAAGCACTCCGGCACGTCAGGAGTCTGGTTAACTTCACTGGCCGGTTTTGATCACTGTACTACGGTTGCATGTTACATCACCATTGGGGAGCCGGAGGAAGGGCACATGGCACTTGCTGGGTTATTTTAGCAACTCCTTTATGAATCTGAAATTATTTCAAAATTAAATACTAAAAAAGAAATTAGTTGGCAATGTTCATCAAAAGTTTAAGAATAGTCTCACCCACTTCTAGGAACGCAGTGACAGGTTATTAGACAACAATATACAAAGATGTTCATTGCAATGTAACTAACACCGCCCACTCCTAGGAACCTAGGTGACAGATCATTAGACAATATACAAAGATGTTCATCACATCTTTGACAAATACAAAAAAACAAAACAAAACAAAAATCCCCATAGGAATGGCCAAAATGCTCAGCAGCAGGAGAAGGGTTATAAAAAAGATGAAATATTACCTGGTCATTAAAAGTCATATATAATTTTTTTGGTTTGTTTTTGAGATGGAGTCTCACTCTGTTGCCCAGGCTAGAGTACAGTGGCGCAATCTCAGCTCATTGCAACCTCTGCCTCCCAGGTTCAAGCCTCCCGAGTATCTGGGATTACAGGCACCCCCCATCACCACGCCTTGTTGATTTTTGTATTTTTAGTACAGACAGGGTTTCACCATGTTGGCCTGGCTGTTCTCAAACTCCTGACCGCAGGTGATCTGCCTGCCTCAGTCTCCCAAAGTGCTGGGATTACAGACGTGAGCCACCATACCTGGCCTATATAATTTTTTTTTTTTTTTTTTTTTTTTTGAGACGGAGTCTGGCTCTGTCGCCCAGGCTGGAGTGCAGTGGCCGGATCTCAGCTCACTGCAAGCTCCGCCTCCCGGGTTTACGCCATTCTCCTGCCTCAGCCTCCGGAGTAGCTGGGACTACAGGCGCCCGCCACCTCGCCCGGCTAGTTTTTTGTATTTTTTAGTAGAGACGGGGTTTCACCGTGTTAGCCAGGATGGTCTCGATCTCCTGACCTCGTGATCCGCCCGTCTCGGCCTCCCAAAGTGCTGGGATTACAGGCTTGAGCCACCGTGGATATAATTTTTTAATGGCATGAGAAAATGCTCTTAAAATGTTCTCACTTATGAGTGGGAGCTAAACAATGGGTAAACATGGACATACTGAGTGGAATCACAGACACTGGGGACTCCAGAAGGTGACAGGGTGGGAGGGGTTGGGGATTAAAACTTCCCTATTGGGTACAATGTTCGCTATTTGAGTGGTGGATCCACTAAAAGCCCAGATGTCATCATTGTGTAATATAGAAATTTGCATTTGTACCCCCTAAATATATACAAATTTAAAAAAGAAAATGCTCTTAAAAAATGTTTTTCAACATTTTCAGCAGAATACAGTGCTGCTACAGCTTGATTTCAGCTATCATTTGGAGGAGATTCTTACAACGTAAGCTCCCTGCGGGCAGTGCCTAGTCAGCTCCACTCACTGCAGGGCCTCCTGCATCTAGAAATGAGTGGCACACGGCAGGTGCCCCATAAGTTGCATATTGTTGATTCAATCTAGGGATTGTAAAATGATGAGTAATTTTTATTTGCTGTTTTAAAAATCTCCTACAAAGAATGGGCAAGGCTTCTATAACCAGGAACAAAATAATAAACTTGTTTTCAAAGCCTTCTAACAGGGTATATTCCTCCTGTTTTTGGAGATATTTGCTCTTTCTCAGGGGTGGGGAGAGAGGTACTAGCAGAGGCGCTAGGCACCTCCTGAAGGTGCCATTAGCCTGATAGCCATTGGGTGATGCTGCTGCCACGGAGTTGGTATTGCTGGGTCATTCTGATGTCACTGAGGAAAAACGGAGAGTGGAGAGGGCCAGGGGACCAGGATGGCAAAATCAATAGCAGCTAACATCCAACTTCCAGTGCCTCTGCCTCTTTTTTAATACATTCAGTGCATGCTTTGTGAAGGTGACTACTTCCCTGCAGCCTGAGATGTCACCTCATTACCTGTACAATAAACGGTCCGTGCCACAGTGGCTGCGATGATGCTAGCAAGCCCCGTGCCGGCCCCGAGCTCCAGCGCCGTGCATCCTCGGAAGAGGTCCTGTCGGAACAGGATGTAGTCCGCCAGGAGCAGGGCGCCCCGCCATACCTGGAGGGAAGAGGACAAAGAGCAACAAACAGCGTGAGGCTCTGTAGAGACCGTCAGGATTATGGGAAGCGGACAGGACCTACCCACCTGCTTGCCAACATCCTCCAGGGGCGTGGCCATGGTGTGCTCTGGATGGGACAGAAACCAAGAGAAATGCCCACTGTGAAATGGGGATGGACAGAAAACCACAAGACAGGACTGCGTGGCAACCGCCAGCATGGTCAGATGTGCGCCAGAGGTTGGAATCAGGGGTTCTAGAGAGCAGCAGAAACACAAGCTGTGCTACTGGTTGAGAGGCGACTTTTGAGCACCACTCATAGGCCAGGAGCTTTTTGGAATGGGGCTCACACTCTTTCATGTAACTGGGTATCTCTGCCCTACAGCCCAAGGCTAGGGAGGGTCACAATTAGGTTTTCACCCAATTTAATCACACACACATGCAGTGCACTACTTTTTTTAACGACCAATAATTGCAAATTTATAATCATATTTATTTATATACTACTAATAATCACAACTCATTCAAAAGTATTTTCTTATTTTGAGAAACATACTTAACTTCATTTTTTTCTTATACTTAGAAATATACTTCTACATTAGAAGTTAACAAAATAAGTTTAAATTTACATCCTTTTTAAAAAAGTTGAAAAGAAGTATAAGTTAGTGTAAGTATTCTCAAGTGCAAAATACAATATATTTTGTATTTATAATATATCCTAATAGGATCAAATTCTGGTGGATGGGAGAAGAGAATGGAAAGATAAGATCAAGGAGAAAAGGAATGAAGCAAAACATTTTTTGTTGTTAAATAAGAACTTGCTTGTCTAAGAGCTCCCAAGGGGGGAAAATAACTTGCTCAAGTATTTTTAAGTGAGATGGTAATGGCTATCGCCAATTGCTCTGTCTGTCCCCAAACCAGGAGAGAAACCTACTGTGTAGGGTCCTCCTGGGCACCTGGACCATTGTTCTCTGAGGGTTCTTCCTGGAAAAATCTGGCTAAAGATTTCGGTCCTATGTACAGTTAGAATCTCATCTCTGAATAAAGTGACTAATGGATCGTCCACCAGCATCTTGGCTAGATTTGACATTGTGGCTTATAAGGCACTTTTAATAAAACATGTTCCTTTCAGAAGGGCTTCAGACTGCTATGGCCTAACATGAAGTCCCCTGGTTTGAAACTGGAACAGAAATATACCTGCCGAGCCACCTGATGCCAAGTTCCTTCACTGAACCAACGTTCATTAGACAGATACATTCTGTGAGCCAGCCCTGGGGCCACTGAGATTCTACTTGATTGGCTCACACGTATTTTACAGAGAAAGACACCGACTGAGGCTCAGCATTACTGTTTGTAAAGTTAATAGAAAAAAAAAGCACCTTCCCTGCATGAGGCACTGGGCTAAATGCTTTCTCAATTAACCCTCAAAATCGCCCAATGACAGGTTTGAGTGTTATCTTAAAGATGAAGAAAAGGTGGCTGGAGGACGTTAGCAGGCTGTGTAGGTCACAGAGCGGGTGAGTGGCAGATGCAGGGTTCCAAGTCAGGTTGTCTGCAGTTTTCTGGCTCTCTCTGTTTTGAGACAGGGTCTCGCTCTGTCACCTAGGCTGAAGTGTGGCGGCACAGCCAAGGCTTACTGCAGTCTCCACCTCCCAGGCTCAAGTGACCATGCCACCTAAGCCTGTTGAGTAGCTGGGGCTACGGGTGCGTGCCTCCATGCCAGGCTAAATTCTTTTAGTTTTTGTAGTTTTTGTAGAGGTAGGGTCTCATCATGTTGCCATGGCTGGTCTCAAACCCCTGGGCTCAAGGGATCCACTGCTTTGGCCTCCCGAAGGGGGATCGTAGGTGTGAGCCACCGTGCCTGGCCTTTTCTGGCTCTTCAGCTTGCTTGGGGAAGGGAGATGTAGAATCTGAACCATGCTAGGGATGTGGTTTAAAAGCTTGGGGCAGAGCCTCCAGGATGAAAGGCACAGGGACTTGCTAGGCAGGCTGAAGGCTTGTGTGCTTGTGCGTGGAGGGGAAGGGGTGTCTGTGGTCTACACCCCCGCCCCAGGCTCTCTGTGTCAGTGCCCCTGCCCAGTTCCTCTTCCCCAGTCCCACCCATGCCATCTCCTAGGTGTGGCTCGTAGCCTCCTCTCCTCTCCTCTCCCTCCATTGGCCTGGAAAAGCTTCCTCCTCGCGTCTGCTCCCTAACCCCAGCTGTCCTAAGGGTTCCTGCTGCCAGGGGAACCCTCCCAGAGCGATCTCGCTCCTACGTGATTGGTCACTTCCTCCCAGGGGTCTCGTGGACATAAGTTCTGCCTCCCAGCTGTCCTCAAGGGATGGCCAGCTTCCCTTGAGGGAGAATGAGGACTCTGAGGTCAGAGACCTGCATGAGAAGACAGTTTTGTCATCTCCTAGTTGGGTGACGAGTCACTTAACTTCTTGGAGACAGAGCCAGTTTCCTCTTCTGCGAAATGTACAAGTAGCCTCATCCCTCATTTCTAAGGCTGTAACAGGGTTTAACCAGACAGCGCTTCTGAGAGAGCGCAGGCTCGGCAAACATCTGAAAACCACTGAGGCGGTCACGGCCCCTAGCCCTTGTACAGGTGGAGGTCACTGAAGCCCAGAGGCGGACATGATCAGCCCAAGGTCATAGTCCGAGAAAAAAACATCTAATTAGATCAAAATGTGTCGAGATGGCTGGGTACAGTGTCTCACATCTATAATCCCAATACTTTGGGAGGCTAAGGTGGGAGATCGCCTGAAGCCAGGAGTTTGAGACCAGCCTGGGTAACACAGTGAGACCCATGTTTTTCTAAACCCAAATAGAAATAAAAGAGGATTTAAAATGAAGTCGTTTGGGAGTCTGACCAAAAACTGACCTAAGATGTGCTTTCTGCTGATGCTGATGACACGAGAAAACACCAGGGCAAATTAACAAGGGGGAGAACGAAAGGCTCAGGGACGGAACAAAGGAAGAAGCGGATGCCGTGTGATTCCCTGGGACCAGAAGTAAAAAGCCAGAATGAATTCCCCAGGAAGCCGAGAGTGGTCATCCTCAAGGGCACTCTCCTTTCTTGTGTCTGACATCCTCGAGTCTGGAATGCAGAGATTCTGAGGTCTACCCAACCCCTGCCCTGTTTCAGGCTATTGCTAGTTTGAACGGGTAAATACGCTTCTTCATGACTCATTGGATAGTCATAGATCACAACAAATACCCAGTATGCCTGCCCTGGGCCGGGCCCAGTCCAGTCCAGGTGGCTGCGTAGGGGTGAGGAAGGAGGATTCAGTCCAGGGGTGGAGGCCCAGGTGACTTAGGGACCTCCCTGTCCAGGGCCATCTTGTGGCTCCCACTCCCATGAAAAGTCAGAGTTTATATATATTTAAATAATTCCAAAGGTATCATGAGAACATAAAAGGCCAGCCCGAGGAACTATCCCCATGAGAAACTCTAGCGCTAGCAATGGGATGAGACAGTGTTAGAATCTCACCTGTCCTTATCAGATTCTAGAATTACGCTTTACCTCATTTGCAAACTGGGTCTCTAGACCTGCAGGAACCTAGACTCTTCATCAGCCAGTCTCCCTCCTTCCAGCTTGGGGCAATCCCCAGGACGAGGCTCACATTTATGGAACACTGAATCCGTGCTAGGCACTATGCCAAGAGCTTTGTATGTGCCATCTCTTAATTCCTCACAACTCAAGGAGGTTGTACCCACTGTACAGACAAGAAAACTGAGCTCAGAGAGGCTAAGCGACTTGCCCAATTCTCCAGCAGGAAGGCACGGGACTCAGAATCTGACGGCCTGAGTTCTAGCCCTGCCTCTCTCGAGTTCTCTTGGGGTCTCAGTTTATCTCTACAATGGGGGAATTGAACATAATTTCCTTAGAATCCGGGGTCTGTGGATTCCTAGCAGATCCCTGGATAAACTTTTTAAGGTTTTGTCAATCCCTTGGAATAGTTAAGAAAACACGTTTTTCTTTTTCTTTAGAAAAACCAGTTCCTCAAATGGGTCTCTAACTTGAAGAAAATGGGCTGATTTATGGGTCAGAGGAAGAGGGTAGCGAGGAGAACAACGTCTGCTTACCATCTGCTCTGCCCAGGCCCTGCTCCTGGCGCTCACGGGGCATGTTTCACTAAATTATCACTAAAATCCAGGGAGAGTGGTCCCCCTGACCCCATGTGGTTCTGAGTGGGTAAGACACTTGTCTCTGGTCACCTGGCTTGCGAAGATGGAGCTGGGCTCAAAATCCAGCCCTGCAGGATTAGATCGAGTTTTGCAGATGAAAGTGATCTAGCCAGTTTGAAATAATCACGAGTTACCACCCACGTTCATGCGTTAGCTACCTTTCCACTCTCCTCCTTCAGGTCAGGTAGGGAGCGATTGACAGCTGAAAATGTGAACATCCAGGTGTACAGACAAGGGGGCCTCACCGTGAGGTCACCGGAACAGGGCAGGTGGGGAAGCTGGTCATAGGCTGGCCCCTTCTTGAGGGACTTTGTTCTTAGCTCACATGATGGTAAATTTCCAGAACATTCACTAGAGACACAACATTGACTGTGGAGTAACTGACAGGTTTGCTCCCCAGCTCGGGGAGGCTAGTAACAGTGAGCGCTCGGAGGGAAATGAGCCATCATCGGCCCCGCTGAGAAGCAGGACTTTCCAAGCCTCTTTCGAACGCTCTGACCTAATGGTGTGGAATGAGAGCACAGGCTGTAGCATCAGACAGACCTGGGTACAAGTCTCAGCTCTGCCACTGATGAGCTGTGTGACCCCAGGCAAGTTCCTCAACCTTGCTGAGCCTCAGTCTCTCCCTCTGTGAAATGGGAATACTTATCCCTACCTGCAGAGGCCATGAGGGCAGAGGTCACCCATGGGATACATGGAGCAGGGTTCTGGTGTGAGTTCCATGTTGCCCTCTCTGGGACAGTCTAGAACAGAGGCTGCCTGGTACCACTGTGCAGGCACTCAGTAACGTTTGCTGAGCAGATAGATACACAGCTGCTGTTCTGTCTGTTTTTCAGAGTGATCCACTGACCCCCATTCTCTGACCAAGGCCAGTGCTGGGGGAGGCCTTTCCTTGGGAACTTAGACACCACCAGGGACTCTGGATCTCAATGAACAGCCTCAAATCACAGATCCGCTCCCCAAATGAGCAGCGCCAGGGGGAGGCAAAGCCCTGGTGTGGACACTGCATGGATTTGAAGCTCACTCACCACCACCAAGCTGCATGGCACTAGGCCTGTCACTTCCTCATCCGTGCACCTGCTCAGGCGGGGCTGTACAGACTAAGCCACTCGAAACTAGTGAAGATATCCAAAACACAATAGGTGCTTAACCAGCACCGATTCCTGGCGTAGTTCCCTACCGGTCCTGGTGTTTCTATAGTGCCAGGTCCCTAGATTTCAAATCCTAGAGTCACCAAACCCCTCTGCTCTGCCCCAATACCTGAGTAGCAGTTCCTCTTTCATCCCACCTCTGAGTATCTGTCCAAACCTCTCCCCTGTCCCACTTTTCCCGCCACTTCATCACCTCCTCTTTCTTGCCTGGCTTCTAGCTCCCAGCTCCCAGTCCATCTGACTGGTCCATGCCCCATTCATTTTCATTTACATCCCTCTCCCTCTGCCACACTCCAGCTCCAGAACCTCCCGTGGCTCCCTACTGCCAGCTCAGCCAGGCCAAGCCTGTCCCACACCCTCAACACGCTGAGTTAGAGCAGAGCACAGATGTGGGAGGCAGCAGCAGGGAGGCTTCCTGGAGGAGGTGTGGCTGAGCTGGAAACTGTACGGCAATGGGGAACATGTTAAGGGAGCCGAGGCTGGGGGCAAGCACTCTAGGAAGGAGGCACAGTACAGAGGAGAAAGCGCACAGGGTGAGGCTGTAGGGGTGTGAGCCGTAGGAGTGACTGGGGTTGTAGAGAGCTTCCCCAGTCTCACCCGAGCTGGTTCTCATAACCTGTGCTGCCTGGCCCTGCAGAGTCAACACGCAGATCATACTGAGCCCTGAGCAGCAACACTGTGGAGTCACCTTCGTGACAGGTGGGCCACACCACACCTCTATTTACCTATTCTGATGATATCGTGGGGGCTGCCTTGTGCTTCCTCTCCCAGGACGTCGTCTTCTTCCTGCGCTAGAATCATGGGATGTACCTTGTCTCTCGGAGGCCCTGCTGGGTTGCGATCAGAGGCGGCTCGTGGTCTTCTCACCACGTCCAAATCCCCATCCTCATCCAGCTGAGCTTCAGCCGCTTCCCGGCCGGTAGTGTCAGCCCCGGCCTGGAGGGAGAAACCCTCATTACTGCGGCCACTTCCTGGAGGGGACCCTGTGCTGCCTGTCTCGGCAGAAGGAGGCTCCTTGGTGTGAACATCTCCGTGATCGCCACCCGTGGCCCCTGAATCTGTCCGAGAGTCTTGGCTCCACAGAAGCTTGAATTGGGACAGGAAAACTGAAAGGCAAGACAAAACGCAAAATGAGAATTCCAAGATGTTTTCTTTTCTACCTTCTTCTTCTTTGAGAATATCTGATTACCAACAGGAAAGATTTGTAAAGGCCAGGTAGAGATATACTAATGCCAGCAGAAAAGGTCCACTTGATTCAGCTGTGACCACCACCAGCTGGGAGGCGGGGGCCACCACCAAGAGCAGCCCCCATTTCCTGAGAATCTATGAGGCACTCGGCTCGTATCATCTCATTCAATCTCCACAATCACTGTGAAGACAGCATGATCAGCTTCATCTTACAGACCCAGAAACTGAGGCTTACAGGAGTGAGCTGACCAGGGGCACACAACTTTCAGGAATGAGCTCAGGGGCCTCTCCTCTAAGCTCCCACAGCAGCCCGGGCTTATGCCAGTTTTTGGATCTGTTCCATCATCCATGCATTCATCACTGAACACTCACTATGTGCCAAGTACCATGCTAGGTGCTGGGGGTACAAAGCAGAATTTGATATGTTAGGGCCTTACATTTTAGGAGTGAAGTCGGGGAACAAACATTAAGCAAGTAAACAAGGTAATTACAGGCTGTGTTAATTACCAGGGATATAGTAAAACCGAATTCTGTGTGACACAGATGTGGCAAACATGTAAGGCAGGGGTGAGCACACTTTGCCCGTAATAGGTTAGATGAGAAAGTTTTTCGGCTGGGCACGGTGGCTCACACCTGTAATCCCAGCACTTTGGGAAGCCAAGACAGGCAGATTTCTTGAGCCCAGGAATTCGAGACCAGCCTGGGCAACATGGTAAAACCCCTCCTCTACAAAAAAATGATCTGGGTGTGGTGGCATGTGCCTATAGTCCCAGCTACTTAGGAGGCTGAGGTGGGAAGATCACCTGAGCCTGGGGAGGTCGAGGCTATAGAGAGTCAAGACTGCACCACTGCACTCCAGCTTGGGTGACAGAATGAGACCCTGTTGCATAAAATGTATCTATTTTGAAGCTTTGTGGGCCCCGTGATCTTTGTTGCAACTCCTCAACTCTGCCCTTATAGCACAAAAGCAGCTGTAAAAACACGTAAATGAATGGGCATAGCTGTGGCTTCATAAAACTATTTATAAAAATAGCTGCAGGCCAGATTTGGCTCACAGGCTGCAGTTTGTATACCTCTGGTATAATGTACCATCCAAATTAGGGCAGGAAGGCAATGGGAATTATTAATAATCACACCTTAGCAAGCTAATACAGGGTAGTTGGAATTAGGGATGGTGGCCAGCGATGGGTTGTCGGCGGAGATGCTACTTGAGGAGCCAGGGAGGGGAGGAAAGCAGGTGTTTCCTCCCTGGCCTTGTATCTTACGGTTGCTTCCCTCCCCTCCCTGTGTTTGAGGGACAGAAAGAAACTGACAGTGGCTACAGAAGAGCAAGGGAGAGTGACATAAGGGTAGGCACACAAGCAGAGGCTGGGGCAGGCTGACCTCTCAGACCGAGTTGAGGAGCCTGGATATTATTCTGAGAGCAATGCAAAGCCAGTGGAGGTCTAACTCAGGAAGTGCTGTGATTAGATCTGCATTTTCAAAAGATGCCCTTGGCTGCTGCAGAGATTAAGTGGGGAGGGTGTGCAGCGGCGAACTCAGTGGGAAAAGACAGAGGCAGCCAGGCAAGCAACAGAGGTGGCTGGACTAGGGTAAAGGGAGTGGGGATAAAAAGTAGAGGACAGGGCTGGATGCAGTGGCTCACACTTGTAATCCCAGCACTTTGGGAGGCCGGGGTGGGAGGATCACCTGAGGTTAGAAGTTCGAGACCAGCCTGACCAACATGGTGAAACCCTGTCTGTACTAAAAATACAAAAATTAGCTGGGCGTGGTGGCAGGCGCCTGTAATCCCAGCTACTCGGGAGGCTGAGGCAAGAGAGTCGCTTGAACCCAGGAGTTGGAGGTTGCAGTGAGCCGAGGTCGCACCCCTGCACTCCCCACTGGGCGACAGAGCGAGATTCCGTCTCAAAAAAAAAGGAGCAGAGGGGACAGATGGAGCCCCAGCACTCTGTCTCCCCACTGGACCCTGGGCTTGCTGACGGCAAAGTCTGGCTCATTCCTATCTGCATTCCCAGCATCAAGTCCCGGGCCAGGCGCGCAATAGGTGCTCAGGAAAGCACAGCAGTTTGCTTAATGAAGGGGGGGGGGGGGGGGGCGGGGCAGCAGCTTGCCTGTAATCCCAGGGACTCAAGAGGCTAAGGTGGAAGGGTTGCTTCAGGCCTGGAGTTCAAAACCAGCCTGGGCAATACAGCAAGACTCCATCTCTACAAAATAAAAATCTGCCAGGTGTGGTGATGTGAGCCTGTAGTCCCAGCTACTCCAGAGGCAGGGGAAGGAGGATCACTTGAGTCCAGGAGTTTGAGGCTGCAATGAGCCATGACTGTGCCACTGCACTCCAGACTGGGTGACAGAGTGAGATCGTCTTTAAAAAAAACAAACAAAACAAAGCAAAACAAACCCCCCCACACAAAAATTGCAGAGTACAAGGTTTTAAAAAAAATTAAAGAAAAAAAAGGCACTTAAGAAGTGGTCTAACAGTTACATAATCCAGTCTTCCCAGTGTTTTCCCCAAAAAGATGAGTATGAGAAAGCAGAAAACAAAATAGGATCCACAGGGCACCTGGGACCAGGACCTTACCTGGCTGCCCCACGCTGTTCAGTCGTACCATGAGGTGTCTGTGGTTCGGGGTGTAGAGGTGGACGTCTGACAGTACAGTGTCGCTTCTAAAGGTGACCTCGTCCATGGCTGCAGCAGGAGCCAGCTGCACCATGGCCCAGGCTCCACCTTAGTCCTAGGACAGGAGCCCCTCAGAGGTGAGAACGGGTCCTCGGCATGGCAGGTCCCAGAGGAGATACTGCAGACAGGCTCAAGCTGGTAGCCAGCAGTTTTGCATCACCCTGGGAGAAGGTCTCAGACACTTGGCCAGGGAAGAGAATCCAGCTGGAAATTAATTATGTTATTTTGTTTATATTCATTATGTTCATTTCACTCATTATATTCATTTTCTATTCATTCATATATTCATTTTCATAGTAACCTTTTATTTATAGCAAGGGACATGCATTTCCATTTATAAAGTTTCCTTTCCCTTCTTATTTTTTTCAACTTTTACAAAAAATTTCAAACAGTAAGGGTATAGGGGGATATCATAACCATAGAACTACTGCTTAGACTCAGTGATCGTCACCATTTTGCCACATGTGCCTGCCCCCTCTGGTTTCTTCTCCTTGAGCTGAGAGTACACTGCAGACATCATGACATTTTGCCCCTAAATTCTTTAATGTCTGTCCCCTAAGAGCATTTCCCTATATAACCATAAGACCATTTACAAATCTAGGTAATAATTCCCTAATAGCATTTAAAGTCAATTTCCTCCACCTGTCTCCCAAAGGCCTTTGAGGCTCTCCCTACCCCCAAACTAGTATCCAATCACAATTCACACTTTGCATTTAGTTGTTATGGCCCTTTACTCTTTCTTTTTAATTCTAGAAGCTGTTATCTTCTGTCCCCATATCATTTGTTGTTATAAAGCTTTCCTATTTTAAACTATGTTTTATTTTTAAACATTTCTTTTTAGAGATGGGGGCTTGCTCTGTTGCCCAGGCTGGAGCACAGTGTGCAATCACGGCTCACTGCAGTCTCAAACTTCTGGGTTCACGCGATCCTCCTGCCTCAACCTCCCCGGTAGTTAGGACGACAGCTATGCCACCATGCTTGGCATTAAATTTTTTTTTTTTTTGTAAAGACGAGGGTCTCACTGTGTTTCCCAGGCTGGTCTCAAATCCTTGGACTCAAGCGATCCTCTCACCTCAGCTTCCCAAAGTGCTGGGGTTACAGGCGTGAGCCATCATGCCTGTCCCAAAGCTCTGCTACTGAATTTAAAAAGGTGAATGGAATTAGCCGGGTGTGGTGGCGAACGCCAGTAGTCCCAGCTACTTGCGGGGCTGAGGTGGGAGGATCACCTGAGTCCAAAAGGCGGGCATTGCAGTGAGCTGAGAATGCGCCACTGCAGTCTGTAGTCCAGCCTGGGTGACAGAGCAACACCCTCTCTCAAAAACAAATTTAAAAAAAAAAAAAAAAAAAGGTGAGAGGATTTAAAGGAAAAGTAATTAAGGGAATCACTACACAGATACAGAAAAATTATGCAGGTGATACATTAATAACTAAAACTTGGAAAACCATGGCTGAGGCAAAGTGGTCAAAAACAGGGGGGATGGGATCTCCCTCCAAACACATGTTTCACCTCATGGAAAAGTATCATCAAACAGCAGTAGTCTGATGGGCTTTCAAACTGGACAGACCAGGTAGGGATCCCTGGTCTCTCACCTCCTAGCCATGTGATCTCAGGAAAAGACTTCACCTCTCTGCATCTGTTTCTTCAGCCACAATCTCATGCAGTGTTACTGGGTGGGTAAAGTGCTGAGCAGAGTCCTGGGCTCACAGTAGGTGTTAATAAAACACCAGCAACCTCCTTGTCCTGGGGTTGGTTTCAGGTATTTGACCCAAACCTGCCTGTAACCCCTGACTGCCTACAGAAGCTGTTCCTACCTGGGTAGATGTGTTCCCTAGGCATGTCATGAAATCTCGCCGGGCCCCCGTTTCTTCAACTGCAAAAAGAGGTCATCATGACTCAGGCTGTCCTAACCATCCCAGTACACTGCCGGAGTTCCTACATTTAAGTGCTTGCTATGGGGTAGCAAAAGCTGTACCAACAAAAAATTTTTTAGGAAAAAGATGCTTCCTTATTGGTGTCCATGCTAGCTTTCCCACTCAACACTATAAAGCCATCAAAATGCAAGTGGGTTGTGAAGAAAGTCTGTGAATCTGGCAAATCAATGCAGAATTTCATGTTGTCATTGAAAGTGCTGGACCTTCAGGCAAACACTGTTAATCAATGGGACTGGCAAAATTAGACCAGATTCCAGAAGAGAAAATACAGCTTATACCTACCACTTATTTCAAAGGCAGATCAAGCTCTCTCAGGACTTAGAGATGTCCTGGGGGAAAACTGAGAACTTTCACATATAGTTTCCGTTTCTAATATTGCTGTAAAAATCAAAAATCAAAAGCCATTTCTTTTCAAATGGAACCAAGGATGCTATTTCTTTTTTCGCCACAGTGCTTTTTTTTTTTTTTTTTTTTTTTCTGAGACAGAGTCTCACTCTGTTGCTCACGCTAGAGTGCAGTGGTGCCATCTCAGCTCACTACAACCTCCGCCCCCTGGGCTCAAGTGATCCTACCTCAGTGTCCTGAGTAACTGGGACTACAGGCACACACCACCATGCCCAGCTAATTTTTGTATTTTTAGTAGAGATAGGGTTTTGCCACGTTGGCCAGGCTAGTCTTGAACTCCTGACTTCAGGTGATCTATCCACCTTGGCTTTCCAAAGTGCTGGGATTACAGGCATGAGCCACCACGCATGGCCTATAGTGTAATTTTGTTGGAAAACTTACATCCCAGAAAAATCACTGTTCTTTGCTTTTTCCAAAAGTGAGCATAATATTACACACTAAATTTTAAGTATAGACAAAAAAGAAACTCAAATTCTTAATCTCTAATTGAATTTTCCATTTTTAAATTCAATCCAACCAGGCTTCCCAAGAAATGCACACTGCAAGGTAAGTCCCAGGTGAAGGAGACTCCCTTTAAGTGGTTTTCCCTACAATCAGCTCTCTGGGAATAAGGAGGCCCTCTTGAACCTACCTCAGGGCCTGTGTGATGAGTAAATGAGACAATGATCACTTTTAGGGCTCACGACATATTGTAAACGTTCAATAAGCAACAATAGTAAGTACTATCATTATAGCAATATGATGATTAAAGTGAATGCTGGGAAGAAAGAAAAAAGGTAACAGCTTCTCTAGTCAGGACAAGTCTCCCTCCGGGAATGCAGGGTCTGTATGGATTTGGGGCTCCTCTCTTCACTGGGCACAGCTGAGAAAAGAGCCCCAGGTTGCAGATGGGGACCCGCCCCACCACCTCTCTATAGGGCTGCAGGCTCATCCCTGCAGCAGGAGCTAACGTGTTCTTGGCTCTTCTAAGGCTGTGGGGACTAGACTGAGACGCTGCCAGCCTTCCTCTCCTATAGGTACCCAGTCAGTTGTCCCAAATAAGCAGTTTGCTGGGATCACGGTGTTGAAATAACTTCCCTCCTCTTTCTTTCTGATAAGTGCAACTCACTCAACAATTAGGAATTTGGCGCGATCCCATAACGATTTAGGCCAGGAGCTGTATAACGGAGGGTAGGGTGTGAACTCCTGTGTTGGGGATGGGAAAAACGTGGCCTGGCCACGGCGCGCAGAGTCGTAGTGAGGGGCTCTGGGGACGTCCCTCGTGGGGCTCCTCGTCCTCTTTGTCTTGTCGCCTTCCTAACGCCACCCTTGTGGGTTAACTATTGCCCTCTCAAAAGACAGTCACAGGTCAGGCACTGCCCTCCCTTCCTAATCTGGAACCGAAGGAGAGGTGCCTGGACCCACGACGGAAACTTAGGTGAGGACGTGGACTTCTTCCCCCAACACCTGTGTTCAGAAGGGGAAACAGGCTAAGAGTGGGGTAGGGCCTCAGGGATCTGGGACTCAGATCCGTGGGAGCTCGGATTTCAAAGTCAGGCTCGGCGCCAGGAGGTTCCCTGCACCCTACCCTGTCCTGCCTCTTCTCCCAGTCACTTACCCGCCGCGGGGCTCAGCCTGGGGTCCCATCCGACCCCGCTGTCGGTCGGTGGGACTCAGGCGGCCGCCATAACAGGCGGTCTGCGCAGGCGCGGCCCCGCCCCCGCGTGCAACCATCTGACCGCAGCGCACCGTGGCTCCACCTACCTGCCCGGGCCGCGCATGCGTGCGGGGGTTGCGGGAATGTAGCCTTCACTCTGGTCGCAGGTGAGACGTGTTTGCTGAGGGGACCCGCCTAGGTGGGAACATCTCCTCACATGTGTGGCTAAACTCATTCCTCTAAAGGAGTTAAATAGGAGTTAAATAACCCGCCCAGCTACTAAATGGTAAAGCCTGGATTCACCCGGGGTGTGGGATCCAGAGCCTGTGCCATTTAACCAGCATGCTACTGCATTTTATATCACGAGTGTAATCGTTATCCATGCTCTTAATACCCATTTGTTTGTTTGTTTGTTTATTTTTCTAAGATGGTCTTGCTCTGTCACCCAGGCTGGAGTGCAGTGGCGCAGTTTTAGCTCACTGCGGCCTTGAACGCCTGGACTCAAGGAATCCTTCTGTTTCAGCCTCTCTAGTAGCTGGGACTACAGTTGCGTGGCACCTTTTTTTTTTTTTTCTGGTAGAGACTGTGTCTTGTTATGTTGCCCAGGCTGGCCTCGAACTCCTGGCTTCAAGCAGTCCTCCTGCATCAGCCTCCCAAAGCTCATAAATTACAGGCATGAGCCACCACGCCCAGCCAGTACTCGTTGTTATTAATAGGTGGTAGTGATTTCATTAATTCATACACTCATCAAGTTTCCAACACCAAGGGGGTGGGACAAAGTGGCAAACATAAGAATCCATGTTTGCTCGTTTTTTCTTGCCTGCAGAATTTCACAAAGCCTCTGAGTTGGTGACTGAGCACAGCCCTCCGAAGAATGCCCTGAAGAGGGTAAGCAGGAGAGAGCACAGGTTCTCACATCTCTTGCCTGAGTCACTGCAATTGTAGAAAAAGTACAGTCAGTGATATTGGCCGTTTTCTCAACCTGTGTGTTCAGTGACATCATGGAAGTCAGCCTGGCCACAATGGAGTAAGCCAGGGGATGGGCCCCAGGAAACGAGGATACATAGGTAGCCAGGATTAGAACTTTTGCGACATTGTAAGAACTTTGGATTTTACTGTGCGTGAGATGGGGAGCTGCCAGGGGTATACACCACACTGATGTGTTCACAGACGTGCCCAGGCACACACAGTGGTGTCCACTCTCAGACATGTCAGTGAGCACACAAATACACACACAGGAACATGTGTAAAGTCCACATATGTAAAATCTATATCCCTGTGTGCTCATGTGTACACACATGCACACACATGGCCTCAGCTGGCAACCTTTGTCTAAATTACTTTGTCTTTGCAAAACAGAAATCAACATCAATTTCATGGTTACTGGTAATAAAACGTGGAGAGTTGATAGGGTGACTAAGCAACACAAATAAGACTTTTTTTTTTTTTTTTTTTTAAGAAACAGATTGTGTTTCCTGAAATCTCCCAGGACAGTACACAGAGAGTCAGTTGGGTGTCTTGGGACCAGATTCTATTCATAGTTTTCTCTCTGGTTCACTGAGGGTTCTCTCAGTTATGCCCAGTGGATGTTGGGTGGTGTGGAGGGCACTAGGAAGGCATTGTTCTCACCCTTGGGAGTTTTGTCTTCAAATTTAAACCAGGGGGAATGACCCTTTAAAATAAAAAGTCAGATTGCATCCCTCCTCTTGTCAAACCTATACTATTTTATAGGACATTAGTGCCCCTACAGAAGAGGCCCCAAAGAGCTGCCTCACCCCTTCTATCACGTGAGGACACAGCAAAAAGACAGCCATCTATGACCAAGAATTGGACACAGAACCTGCCAGTGCCTTGATTTTGGACTTTCCAGCCCCTAGAACCATGAGAGATGAATGTGTTTGTTTATCAGCCACCCTATGGTATTCTGTTATAGCAGCCCAGATGACCCCAAAAGGGTTATTATTTGTGCCACAAATTTTGAGGTGGTTTGCAACACAGTAATAGGTCACTAGATAAGGGGAAAGAAAGCCAGCCCTTCTTGGCAGGGCTGCGAAGAGATGGTAGCTGGGGGAGTGTGGGAGGGGGCCCTCTGTTCCTGAGCCTCAGTTATGAACAAAGCACACTGCTGGCCCGTTCATCTTGTGGTTTTCCTTCATTCACACACCCACTCCGAAGTTCAGAGAGGCGAAGTGCCTTGCTCAGTGTTACCTAGCTAGTGAGATGCAGACTCACATTTTCTTTCCCTCCCTCCCTCCCTCTCCCTCCCTCCCTCCCTCCCTCCCTCCCTCCCTCCCTCCCTCCCTTCCTTCCTTCCTTCCTTCCTTCCTTCCTTCCTTCCTTCCTTCCTTCCTTCCTTCCTTCCTTCTTTTGACAGAGTCTCCCTTTGGCATCGAGGCTGAAGTGCAGTGACACCATCTCAGCTCACTGCTACCTCTGCCTCCTGGGTTCAAGCAATTCTCCTGCCTCAGCCTCCTGAGTAGCTGGGATTACAGGCACCCGCCACCACACCCAGCTAATTTTTGTATTTTTAGTAGAGACGGGGTTTCACCATGTTGGCCAGGCTGGTCTCAAACTCCTGATCTCACGTGATCTGCCCTCTTTGGCCTCCCAAAGTGCTGGGATTACAGGCATGAGCCACTGCACCCGGCCTCAGAATCACATTTTCAGAATGTCCCAGTGAGCCCGTTGAGTGGAGCCTTAGGGTTAAATGCCCTTCCTAGTGTCCCAGGCAGGTCTTTTGCTATGAGAGTCTCCCCCAGACTTAGCGAAGCAAGGGTTAAAGTGCATGCTCACACATGCTGGAGTGTCCATCACTCCCACCACCTGGACTGATGACAAACCACGTGTGCAGCAGAGGGAAGGCGGATGAACTGCCAGATGTGTGTTAAGAAACCAGCTTGCAGGAAATTGCTGTCGGGTGATTATTATTAGCTTAGTTATTCAGAACAGTCCTTTCTCCAAAGGTCGTGCATTTACCAAACGCTTGATGTGTTTTCCCAGTCAGCCCTAGAAAATTTTGTCCTCCTGGAGAGAGAGCTTGTCCTCCAGGACTGCTGCAAGTGGGTGATTATAATTCTGCCCCCGCCTCCCATCAGCATATAACAGCAGCTGCTTTAAATGCACAGTGGTCTGTTTCCTGGTTCTGTGTGCAGAGGCAGGAGGTTGACTTTCAAGTAAGCGCACAGAGCTGAGTTCAAATCCCCAGCTCGGCCACTGATAATTATATTCATCCATTCAATACCTAATTTTGAAGAGCTTTTCATATGCTTGGTACTCAGCCAATTGCTTTACTTCTTTGAAACTTAATTTCCTAGTGTCTCGAATACTGATAATACCTTTCCTGGCGTGTTGTGAGAATGAGTGGCGTATCACCCGTGGAGCGTTCCGCACAATAACTCGCTTCCATTTCTTGACATAATTTGACAGCGTCTGTTATATTTTAAAGAACCCACCAATTTTACTCACTTCACCAAGTCGCACTGATAGATAAAAAAAAAAAAACCCAACAAAAAAGTAAATTACAGTGCCATTCATATTGTATAAGATCAATTATGAATTAAAAAAAAAACCTCACAATTATGTTTTCTGAAGCTAGACAGAATGTGGTCTGTCTATACCATTGTATTGTTATTCAGCCGTAAAAGGAATGAAGCAAAATAAACAAAAAAGCTTTAAAAAATTAGCTGGGGATGGTAGTGCGTGCCTGTGTTCCCAGTTACTTGGGAGACAGAGGAGGGAAGATCACTTGAGCCCAGGAGGTTGAGGCTGCAGTGAGTGGTGTTTGCGTCACTGCACTCCATCCTGGGCGACAGAGAGACCCTGTATTTAAAAAAAAAAAAAAAAGAAAAGAAAAGAAAAAAGGAAAAGAAATAGGGCCATTGTAGATGCAAGCAGTTAAGGATCTTGAAATGAAATCATCCTGGATTTAGGGCAGGCCCTCAGTCCAATGATGGCTGTCCTTATCAGAAGAGGAGAGGACTCAGAAAGAAGACAATGTGGAGACAGGCAGAGATTGGGGTGAGGCATGTAAGAGCCAATGGTCGCCCAGGCTTGCCGGCAGCCTCCAGGTGGCAGGACAGCGGCGCAGAACAGATTCTCCCTCAGAACTTCCAGAAGTACCCAGCCATGCTGGTACTTTGATTTTGGACTCATGGCCTCCAGAACTGTGCGGGAATGCAGGTCTGTTGGTTGAAGTCACCCCGTTTGTATATAGTTAAGAGACTAATACAAGGTTTTGGCTAATTTGTGCCTAAGATCTTTTTATTTGCCTTTCCCTTGGCTCAGAAAGCCCACCCTCAGCCCAGTTTCCATCGTCACAACTGGCTCCTTCTCGTCCAACATAGCTTAAATTATTTTTATTTTTAATTTTATAATTTATTTTTATTTTTATTTTGTGAGAGTCTCACTGTTGCCCAGGCTGGAGTGCAGTGACACGATCTTGGCTTACTGCAACCTCTGCCTCCTGGATTCAAGCAATTCTCCTGCCTTAGCCTCCCGAGTAGCTGGGATTACAGGCGCCCGCCACCATGCCTGGCTGATTTTTGTATTTTTAGTAGAAATGGGGTTTCGCCATGTTGGCCAGGGTGGTCTCTGACTCCTGACCTCAGGTGATCCACCTACCTTGGCCTCCTAGAGTGCTGGGATTACAGGCGTGAGCCACTGTGCCCGACCCATAGCTTAAACATTATCTGCTCAGTTGGCCCTTCCCTGCCTATCCCATCATGTGTTGCCCCCTACTATCTGTCCAAGTAGCTCTCCTTTACACACCCTTTAATTTTCTTTCTTCTTTCTTTTTTTTTTTAAAGTAGAAATGGAGTCTTGCTGTGTTGTCCAAGCTGGTCTCGAACTCCTGGGCTCAATCAGTCCTCCCACCTTGGCCTCCCAAGTTTCTGGGATGACAGGCATGAGCCCCTGCAACCGGCAACTTATATTCTTTTTAGATCTGTCACTCTCTGGAATGACCTATTATTTATTTATTTATTTACTTATTTATTTTATTTTGAGACAAGGTGTCTCTCTGTCGCCCAGGCTGGAGTGCAGTGGTGCGATCTCAGCTCACTGCAACCTCTGCCTCCTGGGTTCAAGCGATTCTCCTGCTTCA